TGGTCGGGACACATGCGCCTTGGTTTGGATGATGGTCATGGAACTGGAATGCCGATTGTTTCTTTTTCCATTCTCATGATTTCTCCCCCCCCCCCACCGCCAACCATTTGTACACTGATTGTGATGTATTAGCCTATGAATGAATCACCGCAATTTCTGTGTTGTTCAGGTGGAAACCAATTTCTGATGAAACCGGTTGTTCTTGGTATGAATAATTCTATTGGTGATTTACTGCTGCGAAATGTGCGCCATAGTTTGCATCTGATAAACCCGCTCAACTGAGTACATTATGCAAGCTCCTGTTATTTTCGCTGGCTTTCCAGTTCAACGGGGGTACGGCTGACAGATGAGCATCCACTGGAGTCCTACCGCGGTCGGTGTCAGAAAGATTCGGAGATATCATGGTCTCTATTGAAGTCAACCAAGTTAGCGGTGTTGTGTTTCGGGATTGAGACGGCATTAGTGGCCCAGCAGTGCTCACATTGAATTAGTGGTCGCGTGCGAACAGGATAAGTTCAAACAGGTACCACTGTGAGATTTCATTCACTAACACGATTGAAGACAAATTTTTGCTGCCCACCAATGGGGATCGAGCATTCATATTTATGCGTAGCCGACATATGTCCCAAACGAGAACTCATATTCTTATTGCTTCCAAACGGACCAAGGTTCTTTGCTATCTCTTTTTCTTTGGAGAGGTGAAACAAGAGCATTGCAACCGGAGCTAAGCCTCTATACATGGTGATGATTAGAAATGAAAAAATTAACTTTCGGCAACGTTGAAAATAATTTAGATCACGATGGTCTGGTGGTAGAGGTCACTAAATTATCACCGCAGCGGACCTGTGTTCAAATCACACCACTTGATTTTCCTCACTGTGATATGGCCGTCCTTCGATTGGCCGCTTCTATCTTCCTGAAAATTTCAGCATTATCTATTCAGTAAAAAGCAGGAAGGTAGTGACGTGCGATAAATATTCCCTACAGTTAAAGGCAAACTATCGGATGGAT